TATTTAATAAGCATGTTAAATTACATTAATATAAAATTAGGAAAAATATATGTTATCTTAATTTTACCAATTTTTCTTTATTGTAACATTTATTTTTTAATTCATTAAATAGGCATAATCAGCAATTCAAGAGATTAAATTATATAGTATACAAATGAGTAATTTATAGGGGATATTCATTTGAATCAATTTATTTGTTATTTTCAGTCTCAACTTCTCTTTAATGCATTATTTGATTGATATAATTTTGTATTTAGATTCCTTTATTCATATTTAGATTATGTTGTGTTATCATATTTTCAAAAAACTATGAAGGATTTATATAACTTTTCATGATAATTTCAAAATATTATATGTTTAGTAAATATTTTGTTTTAAAGAGGAATAATGTTTTGATGCATAAAGTAAATTTATTTGATAAATAAATAAAATAAATAAATAGAATTTTGTATATAAGAAGTCATAAATAACTGAAAGAAATGCTCAATCTTAATTATTCAATGTTCTTATTGAATTCGTATATTTCTATTATATTATTTCTATGTATATCTTTAAATTATTGATTGCAAGAATGTTTGTCATTTATTTATTTAATTATTTTAATTTAACTTTTTCACAAATTTTTTATTAACTTTTTGAATTATTCAAATCGAAAACTTTCGAAATTAATATTAATATCTATTGTATTTTGAAGGTCATTGATATTAAGATTTCTTTTGTTTATTAATTCATCAAACATTTCCTACTGATAATACACAAATGTCTGTATCACAAGTTGACATCATTTAATGTAGAGTACACATGTATATTTAATCTAGATATTCATATAGATAGCAGATAGTACACAGAAATAAAAAAACTTTTTACTTCACCAGGTCGCGCTCGTATCGCAGCGTCGGCGCACTTTGAATCCTGCCCTGGAGGATAGGTGCAGGGTGTTTTTCTGCATGTATATATCTTTTTATTTTTTTACACGTGAATTTGCCTGTGTTCGAGAAGAGCGAGTATAGGAATTAGTAAGTGCAGTAGAGGGCAGTCGAAAAGCAGCGATAGAAGTATTAGGGTGGTTAGTGAGGGTGCGGGCGCAATGTTTGCCATAACAAAATTCATTGTAAGAGTTTGGGTTCGTAGTAACAATGATCTAATTGCTGCTTAACCTTTTAAATTCTTTGTTTAATCAATCAGAATTCGAAAGATATCTTTGTTGTTTTTTATTATTTTTTAAAAGAAAGAGCGAAGACGAAGATAGCATATTTACAAATCCTGAATGTTCGAGTCGTGATTTATAATGAAGTGGTGAATTAATAAGTGCGTCATTCTCATCAAGTGCAACAATATATATGTATATTATTAGAGTAGAAATCAATAACGTTATATGCCTGTACACACACGCGCCCGCGCGCGTGCACGCACTCACACATATGTATATATATATACATGTCAAAATACCACAAAATACCAGCAAGATTTGTTGTAGAGATCATTTTGACTGTTAGGTAAGCGATGTGATTGCAATAAATACAATTTGATAATATATTATTAGAAAGTTTTAGAACTTTTAAAATCAAGGTGAGTGTTCGATTTTTCAATTTTGGAATTTGAGAGGCGAACACTAAAAATCGTTATTTTACAGTCAGCGCCTCGCGGTGACTTAGCGTATAATATAAGTTCTCTTCCCTTCTCTTTTCAGATACATAACGTTATCGATCTTTAGCTTATGTCATGTACTTTTACCTACTTTTTCTAGATTTATGATAAATAATGATCTGATATTTTTTTATTAAAATTTTGGTGACAACCGATTTTAACTTACTTAAATATTTGATAAATAGAATTTGAATGTTTATTAGGAATAATACGTTTAATTATTTATCACATGTTATGTATAAGCCACTTTGATATTTTGAAAATACTATTTTAAAACAATTTTGGTAATCAAGTAATTGATTATTTTAAGATTAATATAGTACCTTAACATCTGTAATAAAGTTTATACGATAGTGCAGATTTTGTATACACACTTTTCTTGAATTTTCTTGATTAATAAAAAATTACATTATATACACATTTCATTAGTTCAATATGATATTCAATATGTTATAAGATGGAGTACTTGCATTCTTTATTAAAATTAAATAAATGTTTATCAAATTATTAATAAAGTCAATTTTAATTAATTATATTTTAATTTACATACACATCAATAAATTAAAAGTAAAATATAAATAATTGGTCCTGGTTTATTAGGTTAAAAGTAAAATTCTGAATAAAAGTAAATTGTCAATTTGTTAAAATTGGAACATTTTTAATTGATAGGTCTAGTCTTACTTTAGACGAGATAATTATATAAAAGATTAGTATTTACCATACATTTATTAAGATTATTTTTAATTCATTCAAAATAATATAAAAGTTTTAAATATTAAAAAAATATTTAATTTATATTGTCTTATTTCTAGATATTATTATTCTAGATAGTATTGTCTTGTTTCTAGATTAATAAATATTAGAATGAATGCGTTCAAATTCTGGAGGTTAACCAAAATATGTATAAATTAGAGCAGTAAATATCATGTTAAGAGATAGATTAAGTAGGCAATGAAATTAACATACTTGTATACCATTTATTAATATTCAAAGGATTCTTATTCATAACAAATAATTTTTGTAGAATTTTTATAAATGCGTGTAAAAGCTTTTCTTTTAATACATATACACATGTGTAATACATTCAATATTTGTTATTTGATTTAATTATTTTTACTAATTACTAATATAATGAATTTACTACTATAATTATTTCGAATTTAAATATATGTTAAATAAGGAAAATTGCATTTAAATATCATCTGATTTATTTGATAATATAGAAGTTGAAATTCAAAATGTTCATTAACTATTTTTAATTTGACTATATATTTGAATATGAAAATGAGAATAATAATATAAAGAATTAAAATTAAATTAAATATAAATTCAAATATCAAATATATATAATATTTTAATAATATTATATGCTTGTAAATGATATTTAAAATACATAGTTATATATACTTTAAATATTTTGTTAATTTTTTCTATTGCATATTTTAATAAATACACTTGAAATATTATATATTTATCTTCATTTTAATTTTTTTAATGTTATGCTTTGGAATGGTAAATAAATTATTTTTTATTATATAATTATTTTTTTTTGTAGTGAATCAATATTTATTTATTTACTTTGTTCATCTTAATTCTTTGAGTTCTAATGTAAATATAACATATTGATTTTAAACAAAATAAAATATTGTTTCTATCCTTATACAGTTAAGATAAAAAATAAAAAATACATAAGTAAAATACAAGTAAAATAACACAATAACACAAGTAAAATAAAACTTTAATTAAAAAAATACAAAATTTTAAATATATTATTGAAATAAAAGTTTATGTATATGTTTAAATGCATGAAATTTTATAATTATAAAATACGAAATAAACATTAAACCATATTTTTGACACTGTACCATTAGTTTTCATCAGTGTGTATGTTTAAATATATACTAAATTAAAATTAAAATATTCTACAAGAATATTTTAGTTAAATAAAGTAAATTCATATAAAAACTCAAAAATATATATTAAACCTTGTAATCAAATTTGTTATAATAAAATAAGTAGACTGGGGTAAATATGTTGAAAATAAGATTTCAATCACAAAATAGTAAAATTTCTACTATTTTATTGTTTATAAATCTCTAACGGGTATTAATAAATTATAAACTGATATAATTGTATTTATATTTTTATATATGTATATATAATGTATATATAATGTTTATATAATATAATAATTTAAAAAATTTAAATAAATTTTATGTAACTACACATTTAATAATGATTTTCATATATATATATATATATATATATATATATATATATAGTTTCATAAATAATAAATTTATGGAAATACTATGTCCAACGTCAGTTTATGTACTTAGTACGGATTTCAATAATGAAAATCATCGTTAAATGTGTAGTTACTTATAATATATTTAATTATATGCGATTTAAAAAATTATTTCAATGCAACATTATTATTTAACTTTTATTTAATTTTATTTAATATACACACACATGCATTGCATAAATAAATAAATGTTCAACTATTAAATAACTATCATATTTCAAATATGATCGTTTAAAAATTTAAGATTGTATGTAATTAGCAAAAAATACAAGAGATTTATTTTTAAGCTTCAATGCTGTATTTATCTTAATGGCGATATCTTGCATTATATACTCAATTTTAAATAATTTTTATAATTTCAATTATTCAGTATATATGTATCAAAATAATCAAACTTTAACTATTTATTCAAATAACTTTGAAAATTTTATTAAATTTCATATAATAAATATAATAAAATTAATTAAAATACGAAATAGAACGATTAAATACATTTATTATTCAAAATAAGTATAAAAAAATTTCTTAGTACTATTATTGAAAATGTAGTTTTGAGTAAAAGCTATATATATATATATATATATATAAGTAATATTTACGTATAAATGAACATTCTAATGATGTATTTATAAAGTATTATCCATTATAAGCATGTACAATACACGTCTAATTACTTGTAAATATTTATTTTTAAATATTAAATAATTGAATAATCTTTTAATTGAAATTAAATTTGTCATGCATTTGATTACTTATCAAACGAAAGTTTCTTTCTGAATGTTACTTAAATTTAAATGTCAAATCAAATATCGAATCTTGATTTAATATATCAGCCTGGATTCGATTGATTGTCGTATGAAGTGTTAGATTTCGCATTCTTCGACTTGTTTCTGTATAGTTATTTAATTCCACCAATATTGATAGTTGATGCTACGATGAAATTATTAAATTCTATTTACGTTTTAGTAGGTGTCGATTAATCGTAAGAAATACACAAATTTAAAACAATACTATTTAATAGCTAAATATCATTCATTTGTTACAGAAATAAATTGAAGTATTAATAATTAAAAATAAAGAAGGCCAGTTTGAGGCTACAGTCATAATAATGTCGTCAGTGAAGGTTGCTGTTCGGGTTCGCCCTTTCAATATGAGGGAGATCAATCGCGAGGCTCATTGTATCATCGATATGAACGGAAATACAACTTGTAAGTATATTTATAGTCTTGCTAAAGATTATGATTATTTCTTATACAATTATTGCATTATCGTTTAATACTTATAAAATCATTTTAAAATGTTGTGCTGTTGGGAATGCTTATGTTAAATAAAGTAACAAGTTAAATTATTACTATTGGATTTAATAGGATAACTTAATTTATATAACAAAAAGCTTTTAGATTAAATATTGTTGTGGTATGATAATATTTATGAATTAATTGATAACATTTTATTTGAGTAGAAATTTAAAATTTTGTACCTGTTCCTTACCTACTAGTATAATATTTTAAAATAATTTATTAAAACTTTTAAATTTATTTAAAAAGAGAACTTATTTATAAAATTATGTTATAATTTGTAATAAATGTATTGATCAATTATTTAATTATAATATATATAAATTATTTTTAATTTAATTAAAAAATAATAATAATGGATAGGATTTATACTCTATTTTATATGTAAAATTGTACTGATTTTTATCTTTCAGAATACAAAAGTTTTATCAGATATTTTTACAAATGCTAATATTTTTATTTAATTTTTATCTTGAATGCAGATGCATTTATACTTTGAAATTTATTTTAAAATTTATCAAAATATTAAACATGGAGACTTATCATTTTAGATATATTGCAGAAGTAGATATATCTTTAAAAACCATTCATGTTCGAAACTTGTTGATTTGCCAAGAGGTTCAATCTATTAGTAAATTTATAATATTGTACTTGGTTGTAATGTATGAAAAAATAAATAAAGTAAATCAAAATGTAAGCTAATTTATAAACAATGTATTAGAACGATTAAGTATACATTTAAAGTAAAGAGTAGAGTCGATAGAATGTCGACAAAATAAACTGAATCTGCTTCGAGATCATCTCGGTAGCCATATTGTGGATCGATACTCTGCAGTAGTGACTCAGAGTTCTGCTGCCTTCCTCACTTTACTACGGCAACTTTATAGCATGATGTCACTCCGAAATTTCCATTGTTAATGCGCAGCTATACAAATTCAGCCATACCTTGTATATGAGATTATATTCGTTATTGAATTGCAAACATCCGTATTCATGTATGCATGATAAATAAACAATTATATATCTATTATCTATTTTACAAAATACTTTATCTATAGATAAAATATTTAAAAATATGCATCAAAATATTTTATATTATAGAGAAATTCATTTCAAATCAACATATTAATTTAATGTCTAATAGATTTTATTCATATATAAAAAACTAATTATGTTTATTTCCATGTTTTAATAAAATGTAATATTTTTAATTTAACATCAAATTTCGTTAGATAATTGAAAGGACCTATATTTAAAGCACAAATATAAAATCTATTTTAATAACGAAAGTGTTTTTGAATATAATTCTATTTGTTTAACTAATTAAAAGAGCATTATCAAAATAATGCCAGTTTACATTTAAAAATTAAATAGTCTTGACAATAAAATAACTAAGCTCATTTTTCGAAATATTTCCATTGAATTCCTATACATGATACTATCGAGGTTTCAAGATTTCCGAATGGTTGGAAATATGAATTTTATAAAAAATATATTTTTAAGTCATCTTCAAAATTAAGAAAGTTTTTAAATATTACAAATTTTAATGTCTTTATTATGAATATTTTTTGTGTTTTCAATAATTAACAAAATATTATCAATACAGAAGATGGGTTCCTAAATAAAAATTAAACATTAAACAAATAATAAAAAATTAATAACATTTCTCAAAAGCAGAAATCTATAGTTTCATTACCATTAGCATAATTTCAAAATTATTTTATTGATTTTATCTCAATTCTGTTATGTTAATAATTCGCACAATAATTGTCTTTTTATTAGCGTAACTATAGATAATATTAATATAATTTAATTTTGAAAATAAACTTAATTTTATATTTTATAAATTTAATATTGATATAAAATTTAATTTAATATAGTTTAAAATTTTAACTTAGTTTTATAAAGAATTTATAACGGAATTTTTTTATACAATAATTAGATAAGAATTTACATTATTTTAATATTTTTTTCCCATAATTATTTATTACTATTCCAAATTAATTATGGATAAATATCCATCTTTTTTCTGAATTGAAAGGTACTTTATTAAATATTTTGTTTAAAGCAATATTTTTATTTAAAAAGAATAATATTTATCATATTATTAAAAAGCATGACTGAAGATGATGTAGATGGTAAATATTTTAAGAATATTTGTAAATTCAATATTTTTACCTTGTAGGTTTATTTAGAAGCTTTTTATCACATAAAAAGATAAATAAAGATGTTTAGACAATATGTGTATAATTTAGATTTGATATTATATATTAAACTTAATTTTTATACTGTAATAATTATATACTTTAATTCTTTTATTTTTGCCTAGATATGCATATTATAAAAGTTATTTTGAATACTTATTAAAGTGAAGGGAAAAAATAGAAAAGTGAAAAATTTTACTTTTTTTAAGTTTTAACATTTTCTCATTGTACTTTCTACTAAAATTACTTTTTTACTAAAACTAAAATACGAGATTAGCTTATTACAATGACAGGTATCTATTAATTATGAAAAATTCAGTGATAAGAATACTTATTAGTAAAAATAGTTTTGTAATAAACAAGCACGAATGTTAAAATATTATTATTTATTTAAGAATATTTGTTAATAGGAATATTCCATATTTAAATTATTTTGGCAATGAGAATTTTTATAAAAATAATTCTGTAAAATATAATGTTTATATCTAAAAAAAAAAGTTTTGTTAATATCAATATAAATATGAATAGAAAAATCCTTAAAGTTGAGTTAAAAGACATTACTTATTGGGAATTGAGCAAATAGATAATTGTGATAATTTTGTATTGGAGAAAAGTTGAAAATATAAGATATTATTCGGGTTTAGTAAAAAAAAACCTTTGATGGTGGCAAATAGCGTAAAGAGAGTTTTTAGTTTACCTAAGTATAACATTAATATTCGTATACTCAGATTTAATATTTTTATGATGTTTCCTTTGAAAAATGTTTTATTTCACTTTGAATTCATTTATAATTCACATTAAAACTTAATATATCTGAGACTTTTAATTATTAATTTCTCATTATCTTACTTTAAATATTAGTTTACTATTTCAATGTTATGATAAATATATTAAATTTTATATTGTACGTTCTATTTCATATAACAATTTATATTATATTATTTATATTACACAAAATTCGTAAATGGAATATTTATTTACATTTTATGTTGGTACTAAAATAAAATTAAAATTTTTTTAATTCCTATAATTTATTATAAATTATTTATATATAAATCAACATGACATTTATAATATCTATGTAAATTAAAAAATTATCCAATTATAGATAATACTTTTTTTTATTTATAGCAATAGTAAATCCTAAGGGGCTTCCCGGGACTAAGGATGCCATTAAAAGTTTTAATTATGATTATTCTTACTTTTCTATGGACGTAAGTATAACTAATTTATTTATGCATCGTTAAAAATTGTTTTAAAAATAAAATTAATTAAAGTTATTTCCAATATGAGGCATTCAAATAAAAAGAAAGAATAAATGTTCGAGATATAATAATTGAATTTTTGTATTTTTACGGTATTTGGAATATGCCAATAATTTTGTCTTTTAATCTTTATCTACTTGTAAATGAAAAAATTAAAAATATAAATTTGCAGCCAAATAACAAAAATTACTCCTCTCAAATTATGGTCTACAAGGATATTGGTGAAGAAATGTTGGAACATGCATTCGAAGGTAAATAATTTAACTACTATACGTGTAGAATTATTTTACTGAAATAAATTTTTCAATTTTTAAACATTATTAAGAATTAAACTTAATTTTTTGTATTTTATATGATAAATTATTAATTAATTTTCATTTGAACGAATATTAAAAGATCTTTGCTTTGTTTTATTTGTAATTTACTGTAAAGTAAAAACAAAATTAATACAGTTTTGAACATCAATTTTATTTTATTTATCAAGAATAATTATTTTACTCAGGTTACAATGTTTGTATATTTGCATACGGTCAAACTGGAGCTGGAAAATCTTATACTATGATGGGTAAACAGGAAGAAGGGCAGGAAGGTATTATTCCTCAGATTTGTAAGGATCTTTTTAGTAGAATTAGCGATAGTTCAAACAAGGAAATGAAACATTCGGTTGAGGTTAGTTACATGGAGATATACTGTGAACGCGTCCGAGATCTTCTTAATCCAAAAAATAAAGGAAACCTTCGAGTTCGGGAACATCCTTTATTAGGTCCATATGTTGAGGATCTTTCTAAACTTGCTGTTATGTCCTATGAAGATATTCATGATCTCATTGATGAGGGTAATAAGGCAAGGTACTCAGAAATTCTATTTCTTAACAATTATTATTATTTTTAAATTTCCTGGTTAAAATATGATAGCCCTATGTTTTAATTTTGTTTAATATGTATATTTTTATGGTTAATTTAACAAATGCAAACTCTACTTATATTTTATTACTTAATTCTTATTTTGAAATATTTTATTTTTTGGTATGTACATTATATAGCTAAAATCACAAGAAATTATTATTATATTAATATCTAAGAATTTATCTTCTTTAACCATTTTTACACTATTTTTCATAATGGAATTTATTACATCATTAGCACTATTATTTTTTTAATTGTTAGAACCGTGGCAGCAACAAACATGAACGAGACATCAAGTAGGTCCCATGCAGTTTTCACAATATTTTTCACACAACAGAGGCAAGATAATTCGACAGGACTCATTACGGAGAAGGTGAGCAAAATTTCACTTGTTGATTTGGCTGGTTCTGAACGCGCAGATTCTACAGGAGCCAAAGGTACAAGACTTAAAGAAGGAGCAAACATTAACAAAAGTTTGACAACATTGGGGAAGGTTATCAGCGCCCTTGCTGAAATCGTAAGAATTATTTATTAGAAATTCTTATTATATGATTATTATATAATCAACTTATATCATATATCTTATATTATTTTACTAGAAAATTCGAAAAGTAAAACAATAATGTCAATTGCCATTAATATTTACAATTTTATATACAACATTATCGTTTATTTTAGACTTGGTACCTTTTCTTTTAAAACTGTATGTAATAAATATGATGTCATTAATTGCTTTATTTAAATTTGGAAAATTAATGAAGTATGTAATTGGATTCTTTTTTATTTTGTTTTTTTTGACGTCTCAGGTATATAATTTTATATATGAATATATAAGCATGTCGTATGTATATAAATATAAATATATATAAATCATGTGGATATATATTTTTATATATTTGTAAATTTTTATTTTTTATATTTTATATACTGTAAATATATATATATATATATTTTTTTTTATATTATGTAAATTTTTATATACTGTAGTAAAATATAGTATAAATACATTTAGATTATTTTGAATAGTATATTGTTATAGTAATACAGTATACAATTATAGCCTAAATTTTATTTAAAATCTTAAATTCTTATATAATTTAAATTTATAATTATTTTTTGAAGAAATAATTAAAAATGAGTTACTTAATTTATTTAATATGCAATAATTGATTTTAATTCAAACATTATTATTTGTCAAATTGTGCTACTTTGTGGATTCTCAAAGGCGGTAGGTTTCGTTTGCATATATTAATTCTTTGTTAGCTATTCCTAACAAATGATGATTCCTTATAAATATCCACTATTTTAATAATGATTTTTATAGGCTTCCAAAGATAAAAAGAAAAAGAAAGCAGATTTTATTCCTTATCGAGATTCGGTTTTAACATGGCTCCTACGTGAAAATTTGGGTGGAAATTCAAAAACAGCTATGATTGCAGCTGTTAGTCCTGCAGATATTAATTATGATGAAACTCTTTCAACTTTAAGGTAATTTTCATTTAATATATTTAACATAATGTTTCCAAGACATAATTAATTTTTTTAAATTAGATTAAAAATATCGTCATCTAAAAAATTCGAGCTCAAATATGTCTTAAAATTTTCTTAAGATTGTAGATATTTTATTTTAAACATAATTTATTATTTATTTCATATTTGTATTATTTATTTCAAATTTTAAAAAATTGAATAAAACGAAGTTAAAAAAATGATTCTTTAAATAATTTTTTCAATAAAATAATTATGAGAATTTATACAGCTTTTATTTGTTTTATAACATATTAATTATTTTTAAATTAAACTTATTTAAATATATTTTATTATATAGATAAACAATAATAAATTTATATATACTAATATTTTTATATCTATGATTAAACTTTGTTAGATTATTGTTTTTTTATAAAAAAATGTATTTATTATACATTTAAATATTTTTTAGATACGCGGATAGAGCAAAACAAATTGTTTGCAAAGCAGTGGTCAACGAGGATGCAAATGCAAAGATCATTCGTGAGCTGAAAGAAGAAATCCAGAAATTACGCGAACTTCTAAAACAAGAAGGAATTGATTATCAAGAAGGTAGTCAATACAATTTTAATGATTAGCTTTTTATTAATATATTTTATTATAACCTCTATAATTGAAATTAGTTTTTTAATTTTTTTGTAAATTCCTAAAAATTAGTTAAATAATAATCGTTTGTAGTTTGTATTTATAAACTAATATTAAATATTTTAGATAGATTTCTAGATTATTTATTAGTTTAGTCATTATTTAATTTTGTTCAAGACTTTATTATTTGATATAACATATTTTATTATTTATTAATATTTTATAATTTATTTTAATGTTTAATAATTATTTTGAAAAGAAAGAATGTAGTAAGTAAAACTTATTTTTCGTGAACGAAAAATAACATGATGTATCTTCACTTTTTTATTTAAACGGTGCTGTATGTAATTTACGTAATCGTGTTTATATGTAAATAAGTATAAATAAGTTCAATTTAGATTTATTTAAAAATAAGAATAGATAATTTAAAAATAAAACGAGTATGGAACCAAATATTTTATTAAAAGTTATTTATAGATATACAAAAAATTTCTGCATGTTCCTTAGTAATTGTAAGAAAATCTAGATAACGGCTTTAAATTCTGTATTTTTATTTTTAGTATTGCGATTATAAATTATTATTGGGAACAGTAAATATATTTTCTTAATTTCATGTGAAAAATATCCATGAATATGGCTGACAATTTCGTTTAAAAGGCTTTGTGTGTAAAAGATGCTTTTGACAGTATGTCTTTACTATTTTTATATTTTAATTTCTTGTAAAATATTTTTTGCACTCAAGTTAAAAAATACTTTTAAATAGAGTACAAAATAATATATATATATATATATGTATATATATATATACATATGGTAAAACTTTGATTTTATAATATTCACGTATTTATATGTTAATATATATATATATATATATATATATATATATATATATTTACGGAGGTTGCGAATGCAAAGTATTACTAAATAATTCATAAATGAAGATAATATTGGATATAATATATTATTTTCTCAGGATATTGAAGTTATACAAATCATAAAGGATAATATTTATGAATAATTAAAAATAGAATTTTTCATTAGTATATAATAAAATTAAACTATTTGTAATTTATAAATTTATATAATTATGTTCTCTTAATTAATATTATAATGAAAATATCATTTTAAACAAAGTTAAAAGATTTTAATTATTATAGTATAATTTTTCGGTTTAGATTTTATCTAAATCGTTGAAAAATATTTATAAATAATTATTATTAATTTTTAATGTAATGATTAAGATGTTCTTAATTTAATCTTTAAGATAATATATATTTTTAAATTCCTGTAGATCATATAATTAAAAAAATAAATAATTAAAAGAAAATTATTTAATCAAAACCTATTACTAATGATATTATAGCATTTTTAACAACTAATATGAATTTCATATCAATTTAAAATACTTAATCATATTTTTGTGATCAGTTTATTAAATATATTTAACGTTTAATGGATAAACACAACTGTACTTAAAATTTTCAATTACACATTACCGAAAAATTAAATTTTGTAAAAATTTTCGATAATTGAATCAAAATTAAATTTGTTAATTTTCAATAAAATATGTAAGATGGTTTGTTTTACTGACACATGTATTTTAAAAATGTAGAATTTTATATTTCGAATATCGTATAAGAATTGATATCATCGCTGGATAATAGCTAACTTTGTAAGTCAATTTTAAAATGAGTTATTTTTTCGTTATTTAAAAAGTATGTTAGCTGATTAATTTTATATTTTTCTATTAATCACTTGAATAAAAATTATATTTAATGTTTCATATAGTAATATTCTAAATTAATATTCTATTTTTGATTAATATTTTTAAATATAATTTCTATATATATTAATTGATAATTCATGGAAATATTAAATTAATTACTATTACGAATATATTATTATCCAAAGAAATATTTTGACAATTAGTATATAAATAGTTTTGAGCTTTTAATTAATCTGTCTTATTAGTAATAAGAGTATGTATATAATATAAAAATATATTTTATACATATTAAACAATATATTTCATTTTATATGAATAAAATTAAAAATAAATGTAACATGTAAGTAAGGCATTCAATATTTTAGTACATGTTACTATTAATTAAAATTTAACTGACCCAATCTTACGTTTATCTTTCGATAAGTTTGTAAGTGTATAGAATTAATTTCTTAATTCATTATGTAAAATTTTGAATTTAAGTTATAGGATTTATCTGAAATAATCAGAATTATGATTTTATTATACAAAAGAGTATATTTAGATATTATTGACAAAAATCAATTGTACACATGGAAATATAATTTTTTTAATATGTTTTCCCCCGAAGTATAAATTAATTTTTTTAAATATTTAATTGATTAAGAATGCCTTCAATGTAAAGCTATTATAAGATTGATTTATTTCATAAATATTTAAAATTTTGTGTAGGAGACGTTTCTTCTTTTATACGAAATGTAAAACGAGAGGATGATCAAAAGGAATTACGGCAAAGAATTCCTTCTCATCAAACGTCAACTTTAGCCGAAGAAGCTGTCGAACAATTACAAGCCTCAGAAAAACTTATAGCAGGTGATTATTTAATTATTCTTCAAGTTAATATTTAATTTCATCAGTAATCAATTTCATTGCTTAATTGAATCATTTAAATAGCTTATTGGAAATTATATATTTTTCTTTATTCAATTATTTTTTCAATTTAAGATGTTTTACGAATTTTTATATAATACCAATAATATGTTACATTGCCTTAAACTAATTATTTTTAGTATAATAATAATAATAGTAGTGTAGTAATAGGTAATTACTTAATTTAATTCTGAATTTTTAATATTTACTGGATATGTTTATAAATTGAATTTCTATAGATTCCGAATAAAATTATCATTATTACATATCGTATAAGTACGTTAGTTATCGTATAGATAAGAACTATATAAAGAATAATTTAATGATGCATAAAAAAGGAATTAACTCTTAATTAGTAACAAAGAAAATATAATACACATTGAATAAAAAAAGAAAGAAGAAAATTATATTAAAAAGTGAATTCATAATAGTCTTTTAAATATAGAATTAAATGAGACGTGGGAAGAAAAGCTGAAACGTACCGAAGCGATTCGTTTACAGCGGGAGGCAGTCTTCGCTGAAATGGGTGTAGCTGTGAAAGAAGATGGTGTTACTGTTGGAGTTTTTTCACCAAAGAAGACACCACATTTGGTTAATTTGAATGAGGATCCACTCATGTCAGAGTGTTTAATTTATTATATTAAAGATGGATTTACAAGAATCGGTAGTGCTGAAGCAAACATTCCACAAGATATTCAGTTATGTGGCCCTTATATTCTAAGTGAGCATTGTGTATTTGAAAATCATGAGAGCCTTATTACTCTTATACCGAAAAAGGGTGCTCTAATATATGTGAACGGTCGGGTTGTTATTGAACCGTTACTGCTTAAGACTGGTTCTCGAGTTATACTTGGAAAAAATCATGTTTTCAGGTTTAATCACCCTGACCAAGGTAAAAATTTTTATATAACACAATCAAATTAATAAATAATGTAATATATAATTCGCTGGATTTATAAATAAAATAATTTTGATGTAACAAATGTTTTATAAAAATATTTGTAAATATTGGCATAAATAGTTTCTTTTATAAAATATTTAAACATATAAAACAATCAACTTGAAAAATGTACTACTACTTTATTTTAAATTATTGATTAATATTTTATACTATGCAGAAGTTAATAAAAAAAATGCAAAAATAAAATAATATTAAAGTTTCAATATTTAAAAAAATTGTAGATTAATATTTATTATTAGTTTTTATAAGCTTGTGAATTTAAAATTACATAAGCTAAACAATCACCAAATTATTGTTTTAATTGCCCAATATTTTATTAGAACAATACATCAAAAATAATTAAAATGTTATGAATTTCGTATTTAATAATGTAACTTTAATACAACTCAGTAATTAATCATGTAAAACTTAAACAAATTTTTTGTATAAAATATAATATTATTTATTTATAAATATGTATGCACAATAGTTAGGGAAAGAAGAGAGAAAAATTCTCCAGCTGAAACTCCTGGTAATGGTGAAACGGTCGATTGGAATTTTGCGCAAATTGAACTTCTTGAGAAACAAGGTATCGACTTAAAAGCAGAAATGGATAAACGTCTATTGGTTCTAGAAGAACAGTTTCGTAAGGAAAAGGAAGAAGCAGATCAACTTTTTGAAGAACAGAGAAAAGTGTGAAAAATTAATATAGAAATTGGAATAAAATAGATTTTGATTTTTGTTAGATAAATAATTTATAATTTTATAAAACTTTATTACTTATAGAATTATGAAGCTCGAATAGACGCCTTACAAAAACAAGTAGAAGAACAAAGTATGACAATGTCAATGTATAGCAGCTACACTCCTGAAGATTTTAATAATATTGAAGAAGACATTTTTGGTAAGTTAATGATATTGATTTATATATTCATATATAATTTGCATGATTCGCTTTTTAAATTCTAACATTAAGATATTCAATAGTTTCCTTTTTATGATGTAAACTGTTTAATGTAATTAAATTTCGATGCAGCATGTATATAATTTCTACGTAATTGTCTTATTTATGTTTAGTATTGTATCGTTATATTTTTTTATATTTATGTAATTCATTGAATTATATAATTAATTTTTTTGTTTTGTTATTAAGCTTACTAAATAATTAAAAAATTCGGTTATTATTAAAAATAATTTTTTTTATATAATTTTATTAAAAAAGATATATAATAGTAATGTATTGAAATAAGTTTAAATAGAAGTTTTGTTTAAATATTTTATTTTATATCTTATTAAATATATATTAGATGGCCGTATTGTCGATTAATTTAGCGGATATTAATTGACAACGAAGATGAAATTTTTTCATTATTATAATTTTTCTGCTTGACTTGTTTGACTGTCTTGCCCAATGATTGCTTGCATTTCAGTCAATCCATTATTTGACGCAGAGAGCAACTGGGGTGAACGCGAATTTCACTTGGCTAGTTGGGCGTTTCGTAAGTGGAAGTATCATCAGTTTACCAGCCTAAGAGATGATCTTTGGGGTAATGCCATCTTTCTTAAAGAGGCTAATGCTATTTCCGTAGAACTTAAGAAAAGAGTAAGTTAATTTATTATAAAATTAATTAAAAGCCCTTATTTTCAGATAAATAGAATCATTTTCGTCTCAATCTCCTTTATTTTTGACTATAACAATATTTTAATACAATTTATTTGGTTAAATATTTATTTAAACATTCTCATAATTGTTATAGTAATTTATTTTTTAAGACTTTATAATTTCTTTTTTATAAAATTACTTATTGAGTTATATTATTTTTAATATTATTTTATTAAGGATTTTAAAAGAAATTTTTTGAAGGTTCAATTTCAATTCACATTACTCACGGACACATTATATTCACCGTTACCTCCGGACCTTTTACCTGCTTTTGATGATGAAGAAGAAGAAGACAGACCATTTTCTCGTACGATTGTTGCTGTTGAAGTTCAGGATCTTAAAAACGGTGCAACGCATTATTGGACACTTGATAAACTTAGGTATATTTTTTATATAATTGAATATATATTTTTTTTAAATGTTAAAAATATTATTTTATATAACTTATTGTATATATATTGTATATACTTTGAAAACAGTATCTTATATAATACGAAATAAATTAAAAATTCTATGTCCAAGAATCAAATTTTATTACGGATTATTTAGGATACTGAATAACATTTTATAAAACATAGTCTTACATTTTATTATAAAGAATGAAGAAGTATTTTATATTATAATTTTTTAACATTAAATACTATATACATTAGATATATTTTATATTATTATGGTATACTATTTTTTAATGAGGATTTTTATATTTATTTTTTTGGTATGCTGTAAAATGTTGTAAGTTAGATCATTATCCATATTAAATGCCAACTAATTATTTTTATTTAGAATGATATTACTGATTAAATATATACATAAGTTTGCAAATCTATATATATGGTTTGGTACAGACAAAGGTTAGAGCTGATGCGAGAAATGTATCATAACGAAGCAGAATTATCACCTACTTCACCAGACTATAACATTGAAAATATCACTGGTGGTGATCCATTTTATGATCGATTTCCATGGTTCCGCATGATTGGAAGGTAAAATAATTTTCATATTTATTATTTATTGAATTTATTACTTTTATTGATATTTTATTAGTGTTTTCTTATATGTAAATTTTAATTTATTATTAAAAATATTATTTTAAATTTTCTTATATATATATTATTTTACAAACTATTTTTATTTTATTACAATCAAATAAGATTACTTTTGATTACATTTACTACCGATAATGAAATAACAATGTTCATACTTAACTGTGTCTATTTAAAAAAAACAGTATTTTGGAATTTATTAAATATTTTATATATGAATATATTTTCATAGTGATATATAATGATTATACATATTTATAAAACCTAAAAGTCAAAGTAAAACCAATACTAGCATATACTGTATGATAATAATTTTTATTTTCATATTCTGAAAATTGCAATAAATGAAAGCTATTTCAATTGTGCCTTATGATTTTATTAAATTTATTCATTTTCATTGCTATAATTTTTGAAATTGTTCAGTATAACTGGTATTATTAAGTAATTTTAACGTTTAATTGATAAGTTTTTATATTAATATTTTATTTAATAAAATTCAATCCAATTATTTTTGTTGTAGATCGTTCGTGTATTTAAGCAATTTATTATATCCAGTATCATTAATTCATAAAATTGCTATTGTAAATGAGAAAGGGGATGTAAAAGGTTACCTTCGAGTTGCAGTACAGGCCGTTGTTGGTGTGTTTTCAATAAATTTCCTTATCAAATAATTAAATAATTTTTAAAAATACATGAATAGTAGAAAATACATTTTGATAGAGTTCTTAAAAATATTTTGGATGTAAATAGAAATTCAATATTCATATTTATATACTATAGATTTTGGACTATTAAGCATTATAAAAATTATAAATTGATTGATGTTATATAATTTGAATTATTTTTTCAATTCAATTCAATAGAATAATTTATTAGTCTACTTGAAATACAGAATCATATTCAGTAAATTATCTAAATATCTAATTATCTGTTTTAAACTCGTTATTTATTAAGATCAGTTTATATTGAAAAGGAATCTATCATAAAGAGTTTGATGATATTTCAATAAAAATATTTGATATCAAAAGTAATTAAAATTACTTGTAGATTCAAGCATATATTGTTTGTTAAAATATTTGCTAAAATAAAATAATATATATAATACTAATAAAATAATATAAAAAATATATATAATTTTATTTAATTAATTATTTTTATTCTAGAATTCTTTATGTATTTATGTATTTATGTAATTGATGGATATTTAATTTATAACTTATATTTTATTCATTAAATTCAAGAATGTGTAGGATATTATAAATGTGAATATTTTTCAAATATATTAAAAAAAAATGTTATATCTTTTGCAGACCAATTTAATTTTTATTTTTTATTTATTATTTTCTTTTCTTATTTTCAAAATATTATTGCTATCAATAAAATATAAAAGATGATCAATTACTTCTTTACTTCTTAGCTTTCATGTTATTTCGGTTCAGATTATTAATTATTTTAATAATTTTGTTTATATACTATCATACAAAAACCTTTTCCTAGAAGAAGAAAACAGTGAATACTCGAGTGGTGTTAGGCAGTCAGCTCGAATTTCCTTTGAAGATGATCTCTTTAGTACACAACGTCAAAATCGTCGTAATACTTTACTTGCCCAAACTCTTGAAAAGAATCAACAAATCATGATGCAAGAAGAACGTGTTGTTGATGGTCAAAACGATGGAAAAGAAGTTAAAATAGAGAACATTAAGGAATGTAAAGAATTGAAAGAGGATGATGAAGTAGGTGATGCTGATAGCGGTAGAGGCGATAGTTCAGTGTCTAGCGATATGAAGGAAGAGGAGCTACCTGAGTATCTGCAGTCTGGTGTCGAATTTACCTTTAGAGTTACTGTGTTACAGGCTATGGGAATTGCTACTGAATATGCTGACATTTTCTGTCAATTCAAGCAAGTTTTTCATCACATCATATTTATATAAAATTAGTTATTATTAATTATCAAATAAAAATATATTCATTTAAAATCATTAAAAATTTTAGTAATATTTGACTTATAAATATATATTACAGTAAGTTGATTAAGAATTATTCAAGTATTCTAATTTTTTGATGATTTTCTTGGTTATTTTATTTCAATATCGTGATAATACCTAAAACAAACACAGTTATATTCTATGCATATTTAGAAAAATACTATATTTAGATGTCATATATTATAATACAATATACGAATGTAATAATATAATATATAGTGAATGAAATTATTTTTAATAATCTCTATATAAATAGTGAGTTAGGTACTTTTCGGAATTTATATACTTTATTGATAATATTTTTATTTTGTAGTTTTTTGCATCGACACGATGAAGCTTTTTCAACAGAGCCTGTCAAAAATACAGGGAAAGGAAATCCTCCTGGTTTTTATCACGTACAAAATGTATTATTTTCATTATAACACACTTACATACACATATATTAAAACTAGTGATAATTGATAAACATAGAATATATACTTTATTTCAGATAACAGTTACAGTTACCAAATCATTTATAGAATATCTGAAGACACAGCCAATAGTTTTCGAGGTATTTGGTCATTATCAGCAACATCCACTACATAAGGATGCTAAACTTGAATAGTAAGAATAAGTAATTATGTATTTATATATATAAATATTTTGATTAGTCACAGAGTTTTATAATAGTTTTAATTATATTTATGTGCCTAAATATGGATTATCGTAAAAGGTTCTGTTGAATATTCATTATTACCTGTGAAAAATACCTTATTTTCTTTTTCCAGTAAATACTTTCAATACATGGTTTATTTTCGTAATTCTAGTAGGATATAATGTGATAAACTGACATTTGAAGTATAATTTTTAGTTATTTGCGAGTAAGAAGAAAGGTATTTACGGATAGAAATTATATTTATTAGCGTACGACAGCCACCAAAGCGCATGCTGCCGCCTTCCATCCCTATCAGTCAACCAGTGCGATCACCGAAGTTCAACAGTGTCCTTCCATCCCCTAGTACATCCCACGTTCATGCCAAGTATGACGTGCTCGTCTGGTTTGAAATTTGCGAATTGGCACCTAACGGCGAGTACGTATCTTCAGTTGTTGATCATAGCGATGATTTGCCGTGTCGTGGTCTTTTTTTGTTACACCAAGGCATTCAGCGCCGTATACGTATTACGATTGTACACGAGAAAGCTCCGGAATTACATTGGAAAGATGTGAGAGAACTTGTTGTTGGGAGAATTAGAAATACACCTGAACCTGAAGAAGAAGACAACGACTCATCGGTTTTATCACTCGGTCTCTTTCCTGGTGAATATCTTGAAGTGCCAGGAGATGACCGATGTATGTATAGATTTGAAGCTGCCTGGGATAGCTCACTACATAATTCTACGCTACTCAATAGAGTCACATCATATGGAGAGCAAATATTTATGACCATTTCAGCTTATTTAGAAGTAATTGTATTAAATTTATATAATTTATTGTTTAAAATCCTTAAATTATAATTTTTTAATTATTTTAGTTGGAAAATTGTGGAAGACCAGCCATAATCACTAAAGACTTGAGTATGATAATTTACGGGCGAGATGCAAGAGTTGGACCTCGATCTTTGAAACATTTATTTAGCGGAAGCTATCGTAATCAAGAAGCAAATAGACTCAGCGGCATATATGAACTTGTGCTTCGTCGTTCTTCTGAAGCAGGTAGCCCAGGTTTGTCCTGTCTGACCCTTAGCAATATCCTCGCCTTTTTTATTCATTTACCAACTAGTTTTCCATAAATGTTGTATTATATTATTTTGTATAAATATAACTTTGTTTAACTTGTTTCTTTTAGAATTGTATATTGCTTACATAATTAATAAGAATCAATCATTTATGACGCATTATCATTTAATATGTTTTTTTAATAAGATTTTCAATATTATTTCATAAATTGTTGTTAAATTGAAGTAAAATTATTTGAGCGCATTTTTAAACTTCTTTAATATTAATAAAATGATTAGAAATTTAGAAAGATATTAATAATGGTTAAAAAAACATTTATAAACAAGTTTCTAATATATTGAGAATGTAAATAAATATTCAAGATATACCTAGTTTTAAATGATGAAATATGGTAAACATTTTTCGTAAAACTATTTCTATATGATTGTTAAATAGCATTGTACTTATAACTTAAGTTTTTATAACGGATTACGAGTTCGCTTTTAATTATTGCAGGTGTGCAAAGACGTCAACGTCGAGTATTAGATACAAGTTCTACCTACGTAAGAGGCGAGGAAAACCTTGATGGTTGGAGACCTCGTGGTGATAGTCTTATTTTTGATCATCAGTGGGAACTTGAAAAACTTACGAGGCTTGAAGAAGTCGAACGAGTTAGACATACTCTTCTTCTACGTGAAAAATTAGGAATTGATAAGAATACTTTTTGCAATAAGGCACTTCATGATTTTACAAAGAGTGAAAAGGTAAATTCATTTGAGCTTCCACGAAAAATTGGTTTCACAAATATAAATATACAATACATGTAAAATTATTTTATAGTTTATTTATTTTTATAAATTCAGTTTTAGAAAAATGTAATTTGTTTTAATCATATTTGAAAAATTATTTTAAATATTATGAATTGAATTCAATGAATTAGAAAAATCCATAATCTATAACTCCTTTTTCTAAAGATAAATTACTAATAGATTTATAGTTTATAAATACTTTACAAATATATTATATCAAATTATATACACGTACAAACATGAAAAGAAAAAAAATAATTTAAAATAAATTAAGAGTTAGTTTTCAAAAATTGTAGGAGGTCTGTAACATGGTAGCAAAGGCCACAAATGAATCACATGCCAGCTCTGTGAAGTTAAAAAAATCTATTAGCAAGGACGTGTATGAATCATGGGAGATGAATAATCGTGAGAAAGAAATAGCAAACAAATATGTGAAGCTTATTCAAGGCAGAATACCTAGTAAAGAGCCGATTGTTTTGTCGGATGTTTCTCCAGGCGAGGATACAATCACTGATTTGACGACATCCATAATATCTTCCGTAGTATCATCGTCATCTCAAGAGTCAGTATATCTCCGATTATGCGATTATGTGCAGGTAACTTTTTCCTCGAATGCCTGAAACGCTTTGTATCGATTGTCTTTGCCTCGATGCGCTATACCGCTTGTATTGGTAAGATTTATTTTGTCAACGTCACGCTCATTTTGTAACTCAGCAAAAATAGTAGATTATAGTGTCCATTATTCATTAATATTATAGCTTTTGCAAAATAAAAACAACTATTTAACTTAATTTTTAAATATTTTTTAATTTATAATTTATATGCGTTATTTTTCAAATATTGGTTTTGATGAAGTATAGTTTACTGATAATAAAAGATAATTATTAATAAAACAAACTAACAAAATAGTATTTACTATTTATAAAAACTTATTTTATTAAAAAATAATATAATTCAATTTCATAATTAAATAAATTTTTTTATATTAAGTTTATAAAATGGGTACAATTTTGAAAATTTCACATTTTCTTAACTTCTACTTTATTTGAACAATCATTATTAGTTTTACACATTTCTGATCGTTACTACGTAAATATTAGACCATTAATTATGATAACTTAAATAAGCGAGTATATTGCGTCTTGATTCTTGCTTTATAATAGACAAGTCTATTATAAAGTTAAGTAAACAAAACAAAAGAAAAGTCAAAAAGTGAAATAGTGGAGAAAGCGTCTCAGGTGATACAGGAAGGTGATACTTGCAGTCCACAGGAATAATAGTGAAGAGCAGATCTAAGTCGTGCATCTTTAGGTTGAGTTCACCTGAGCGCGCAAGACTGCAGGATATTCAGGACAGCATTTTGATTGGTGAATCAATGAACCACAGTAGTTCAATGGCTCCAGCGCCGCTCGGCTCTACCTCGCCTTTAAAAGAGAGTCTCGTGCTTTACGTTCCAGAGGTCGAAGAGATACGCATCAGTCCCGTAATTGCGAGAAAGGGATATCTTAACATTCTCGAGCATAAGACTAATGGTTGGAAAAAGCGTTGGGTGGTTAGTACTTTTATTTTATTTATTTCAATCGTATATTTACAATTAAAGATAACAAAGAAATATTAATGATAATTATTATCTGTATTTAAAATTTTGATCAATAATATGATATATAATAATAATATATCAATAATATTATTAATATTATAATTAAAATTTCATTAAAATTATTAATATATATTTTATATTTTAATTAAATATTTATTATTTTAGAATTATGTTTTAGTATATAAAAATATTTAAATAATAGATTTATTATTAGTTTGTGATATATATAACTAAATATACATATAAAACTTCAGCTATTTTTACTAAGAAATTATTTTGTATTTGAAGTCTGTTCGTAGACCGTACGTTTTTATTTTTCGCGATGAAAAAGATCCTGTGGAACGAGGGTTAATAAACCTTGCAACTGCACAAGTAGAATACTCGGAAGACCAGATCGCGATGGTGAAAGTACCTAATACTTTTAGGTAAGTTACAATTTATCAAACTTTTTAATGTATAATGTGAAACTACTTTTTAACATTTATTTCTATTTTAGTGTTGTAACAAAACATCGAGGATACCTTCTTCAGACATTAGGAGACAAAGAAGTTTTTGATTGGCTTTACGCCATTAATCCTTTATTGGCAGGTCAAATCAGGTATTTATTACAGAATTAGATTAAATATATTATTCGTTTATGAGATATTCAATCTGATAGGTAATAATTTATTAATAAAATTTTAACTTAAATTTTATATAATGTATAAAAAGCAGTTCCATATTAATTTTATATATTTTAATTTTATTGTACAATTGTAAAAAAAATCAATGATTGATGAATTTGTTATTTTTATAAATTTCTATTATAATTATTATGAAGTATATTTAAAGATAAGCTATTTGTGTATAGAATTTTATTATGAACCAATCATAAAGATAAAATTTTAATCGCTTATCACATAGCACATAAAAACTTTTATAATGTATATGTTCTACTACATATTAGGAAAAAACATACACGTAATGATTATTTATTGTCCTAAAAAAGATTAAGTTTTACTTGCAATATAAAAGTAAAAAATATTATATTTGATTATAAAAATAAAAAGTGTAAATTTAACTAAATGATTGTATAATTGTTTAACTCATCGATAATTCTTTTAAATATATTTTTAAAGGTCCAAACTAGCCCGTAAAGGGCCAGGTAACAATGTTCTACCCAATTTGGTACCGACTATATCAGCAGTCGGCAATAGTACAACAGAAACTCATGGTCAAGCCAAGTGAGTGATGGATTCATTGGCTGAGATGATTGGCGTTGTCGCTAAGGCTTCAAAAATCGTCCTGGATCATTCTAATTCCACTCTTGAGACACAAGATTTATGTAGTTTGAATTTTCCAATTGTTTTTGAATAAGAAATATTAAGAATATTACGAAATATTGATAACATTTCAAGAGGATTTTGTTAGTCACGCGGCGTTTCATCGAAACGTTACCACAGTAGAGAACTTTTGATTGAATGTGAAAAATAGACTAATTCAAACCAAGATATATTAATTTTAATTAATGCAATGCATTAATTTACATGTTATTTAATCGATTATTTTTTATATTTTTAAGTCTTTTTTCTTTTTAATTTAAAGAATAATATAATAGTTGAAATAAAAAATTAATAAAGAGAAGGTGAAAAATAAGAGAGGAGAGGAGATAGGAGAGAGAGAGAGAGAGAGGAACCATAAGAGGCAATATCTACAATTGTCTAAATGAATTATTTGAATTTGTGCACTAATTTATGTTTATAAGGATAATTATTTAGGCAATAAGGGGCATACAAATTTGACTATATTAAATGTGCAATTCATAAAATGTTTTCAAAAAATAATAAACAAAATAATATAATAAAAGGCAGAAAATAAAATAAAAAGAGGATATAATGAGCCAAATATATGATATTAGGTATGCAAAAAAAGTAAATAAATAAAAAAAAATTTTTTAATATGCTTTGATATTTGTAAAAGAATATTTCATTTCTTTTGCTATTTCTAGTCGTAAACCGTATACTATCGTTGAAAATAAATCATAACAAACGTACAAAAGTAACTAAATGAACAACGAGTCAGTCTAAGCAAGTAAAGCAAATGAAGAATGTAAACAAAATAAAGAATCGAAGATTTGAATGTATTGTAAAGAATTTAAAATCATCTGACAATGTAAATGCTCATTGTTCCTTAATGGTACAAATGAGCATTTGTCATTATGTACTGTGTTATAATCAGATAAATAGAAAGTTATATAACATAATTGATATATGCGCACATAGCCACTTACTAATATACATGGAAACATATTTGTGCGTGTGAACTTATATTTGTACACGTAAGAAGTACAGAACAAATATAGGCATGTTAAATGATCCTAATACGCTTTCCTTGTAAATATATCGTACGTTGGGGGCCTCGTCACAGGTCGCAAAATAATATTTGCAGAGAGACTTCCTGCTCTTTTCTCGGTTGATATTTTTATATATTTAGAGAGTTGGTAAAAATACGAGCGATTATTAAACGATCAGTTATTTGCACTGCGCTAACAGTTAATATTGACTGAGAATTATTCGAAATACTAGAACACAGATTGACTTTTTGCTTTTAACATTGAATAACAAGCAATGCGAATAATGATAATCTTGATAAGGTAGGCTCAAATATAACAGTATAATTTCTAGTCAAGAAAGTATGCAGCTAATGTTATGTAAATTAATTTTGTTGTTGATTGGTTAAAACTATTGAATATATTATCTATTAAGCGATGATTATTATTAAATGTTATATAGAAAGGGGTGGTTGTATAATTTTGTTTCTAAGAATGAGAAAATGGAAATGCGAAAATGAGAGCAAGTGAGAGTAGCAGTAAAATTGAAAAGATGTTGATTCTTCAATAATTATAAATATTATTATATGGTTGGAAGGATCATAATACATTCGTGTGAGATGTTACTTCATATGAAACTCGATTAATGAACGAATATTATGATTATATGCAATAAGTCTTTTGACCGCACGTGAAAGTAATTTTCTTATTAAAAGTTATTACTTATCAATTTTGCTTATTGTTAGTTGTATCGTTTAGTAACATAGTTTTATTTACTTATTAGTATCAGAAATTCGTATGCATTAAATTATAACGTGTAAAATTATTACAAAAACTGAAAGGAAAATTGGACAAAGAGGAAAAGACGTTGGAGATTTGGGTCATACGAAACAAACGTGGAGTTCTTGATGTTTCTAGTAAAATAAATTTCATGATACACATATACACCAAGAATCCTATAAAACATTTTAATTTAAAAACGTGAAAACCAGAAAAGAGATAAAATGAGCAAGCAAAGATGCAGGATAGACGTTATAGACCTTGTAAAAGGAAATACGATCACTATATATATAAATATATATACAGAAATGCATAAATCAATTTAATATAAACAACGTTACTACATTTATTTATATGATACAAATACAAAATAATTTATCGATGGCAAAAGGTAATGAATAGATTTACGGAAAATAAAGTAATTGTAATTTTCAAGAATCTTCGATTATCTACACTTTAAATAAAAGTAAGTTCACGCATTAATTTATATGTTATTATAAATTTTAATTTGTGCAAAGCTATTATTATTTTTATTCGGATCCTTAATCACTAAATTAAGGAAAAGACACTGTATTCTATGCATTAATGCTAACTTGTATCGTTTTTACAATTACCAATCTCACGCATTAGATCATCTGTAAGTGATAATGAATCTGTAATAAAAACGATTAATAAAAACTTATGTGTCTTACTTATGTATTTATGATTCTTTATCCCTTCTAAAATATTAATTTTTTTATTGGAATGATCAATTAATGTAAATTACATTACATGCAATAATGTTTTTATAAATTATAGTTAAATATATCTAGTTCTTTAATTTTTAGTAATTAAAATTATTTAAACATCTATTATTTATATCCATTATTCGGGATTGGAGCAATTTCGAAGAATTTAAAGATGGGAAAAGTACAGGGTCTCGGATGCTCATGTTTATAAACATTGATTCTGAGAATTCGTAAATAGTCTACGTCTTATTTTCTAGTGTCCTTCAATATTTCCGCATATCAACGTCGATGAAAATTCTCGAACCTTCTTAGGCAGTGTCCTTCTGTACTTGAATATTCTGGAGCTCAGTTTCTGACGTTATCAAGATTTTCGGCCTAATAACAAGCCCAAGCGCTGTTGCGAGCGTCGTAAGCTGCTACGCGAATATTTAAGAGCAGCTCGCCATGAACCGGCACTCACTGTAATTTTACCAATCGTACACTCATCTGTTATTGCTCACAGTATTTCTCAATCAATCAGGTATCAGTTATTAATCACACAGCTACTAAACTCAGCTGCATACCTCGCAATCAGTCTACAATATACACGCAAATAATTCTGCCAGACTCTGCAATAAAAAGCTAGTAAGTCAACAGTGAAGCCATAATAATTATAACCACTTAAGTGCGCCAAGTTAAGCAGTCATTCAGTACGCAGTGTCGGTAGTTCATAAAGTGCCACTATTCAATTATTCGTCCAAGTCACGGTTCGGACGGAGTCTTTGCCAGGAAAGTGGTGCAGTACGTTCTCTCAGTGCAATCATTGCATAGAACGTTCGTTCACTTCTCCAGTCTGCATAAACAACAATCCGTCTAGGGCAGACTGCCGTTCTACAAATAATCGACTATAAAACTCATGATTTCAAGTCTTTCCGCTCTCGAAGGTATATCATTTATCTTTCTTGCGTATAACTAGCTCACTAATACTCCCTTTTAAGTATGGTCGAATCTCCATGATAACTACCACAGAGACATTAACGTACTCCCCCATTTGAGTATGGTTAATTCTCTCTGCTAAGTACTGCTAACTACCATTATCATCTTCCCATGCGCATGTGATGAGTATGGTCCACTGTTCTTGCTGATCTTTACAACGTCAGCATAGAACCCACTAATCAACATCCATTGCTAATTGCTATAACATCAACGACATCGCCACCATTAGGAAGAAGCAACCTCAACATTGCAATAGGATAATTCCCTCTATCTCACTAGAAGTAATCATAGAACTGCAATATCGTAATTGTTAATAAAACAGAATAAATGATGTCTTAAATCGAAGTTACACACTATACATATTTTCAACCCTTCCACATGTGTCCTTTCCTAAGCATCGCTACGTCGAGAGACTAATAAACTGAACTATTGAATTTGGCAGTTCGAGCCACAAAATAAACCTTCAATTTCAAACATCCATTGAGATGAAACTAATAAAAAATAAAAAAATTTTAAATGCAAAAGAGACATGTTTTATTTTTATGGTATTAATTATTCCTTTCATGTTTTGTAATATACAAATATTCATTTATAGTTAAAAATGGCATGCATTAAAATACATAAAATTAATTATTTTATAAATTGAACAAAATTTATTTCATATTTTTCATTTATAATAGAAAAATGATTGAAACAATTTATCTCATCGGAAATATAAGGTAAGAGATTGTAATTAATTATAGTAAAACTTTTTCTTATTTTTATTAATTAAATAAAGTATCTGAAAAATATAAAATTCTTAAATAGTAACATAAATTTTCTACTAAACTTTATAATTATAATTTTGATAAGATAAACATTATTTCAAAAATTAATTTTTGACTTTATAAATAGGATTATTTCAACCACAACCTTTTTGCATTTTCATGTTAAAAACGATAGAATAATTTATAATAATTATAATAATTTAGCATGTATAAGGCACCAATTCAAAACCACCCACTAAAACATCCTTGTCACAGATTGTATGAATTATTTCATAAATATTAATATATTTCTTTTTAACATTTCTCTTCTCAATTTCATTAGTTTTTGTATTAATATTTGTATAGTTAACTTCATTGTGATAAATGTATGCAAAGATATTTCATTATTTGTTATTTTAAATTACAAATATGTTCCATTTTTTATTTATTTATTTATTTTATTTACCATTTTACTCGGATAATATTTTTGTATTTATAATAAAAATATTTATAAAATAATATATATTTATAGAATATATATTAATAATATATAGATAATAATATGTATTTATAAAATATACATTTTGAAGAATAAAATTATTATTTTATAAATATAGTTGTAAAAAAATGTAAATGCATTAAAAAAAAATTAATATGAATAAATGAAAAACTGGAACAAATAAATGGACAAGAATATTTTATCCTGTATAATTTTTACAGGATTTAAACTTATGTTTTTTACATATTAGTAACGCAATGATTTACATGCAGATCTAATCACAGTATGCCTGAAAACCATAGCAAAAATTTTTAAATTGATAAACTGGAAATTTATTAATAAAATTTAAGTTTATATTAATTAAAATTTATAAATTTTACATTTAGAATTTTTGTGAAAATTTATTAGAGATGGATTATCAAATTTATTAAATAATTCCTTATTGTGTTAATAATGTTA